GAGAAAGCGGCCTGATGTTTTGAGCCCGATGTATCGACGGACCACGAGTCTCGAACCTCTTGAATCGTTGATTGATCCTTTTTCCGGGATGGAGCCTGGACGGGCCGCATGCAACGACGGAAATGAGGAACCTATCTCGTTGAGAGCGGGTGTTGTCTTGAAAACCACTCCCGCAACAATCAAGGTGCTACTCGGCTTCGTGTTGCCGCGCTCGTTTTCGACGCCGGGCGATGTTCTGCTGAATTCTCTCTAGATATATCTATACCAGCCCTGGGGAACGCGGCCTTCGGCCGCGCTCCTTATTGTGGACTCAAACGGGAATCCCGAGCTCATGGCCCGGGTGAGAATTCGTAGGTTGAAGGCAGCGGCAAATCCACCATCAGGAATTGCGGCGGTTTGTCGCGATGCGATCAATTCCATGAGAAAAATTATTTGTTGTTGGACTTTGGCACTGACCACCTTCTGACGGTTTCTTAAACTCGTCGGCTCGTAATCTTCGTCATGAAAATCCGCCATAGATAATCCTGATGATATCACTATACAACCGGAAAAGTCTTGAACGCTATTCCGAACAGTCAATTGAACCCCCAAGATGAGCAAACAATCGATCGAGCAAATCTTGAACTCTAGCCTATCTTGCTGCGTAGACTCGCATTGGCGCCTCACAACGGAAACGGCCGCGCCGCCGCGGCGGCACAGGAGACGGAGCGCAGAACTAAAATTGTCCGTCATTTCCATAGGGATTATCGGGTTCGAACTGATACTCCGGACGGGATGGGCCATGAGCCCCTATGAATATCTCCGTAAAAATTGGAATATTTCCGGAATGCTAGAAATGGAAAATGTACTCTTCGGAGTATTCCCGGAATGCTAGAAATGGGAAATGTACTGTTCGGAATATTCCCGGAATGCTAGAAATGGAAAATTTACTATAGCGCAGAAAACGAACGCAGGCAGAACGGAACTCCGTCGCATTAGCGCGAGCGCAAGGGGCGACCGCGTCACGGCAGCGGCGGCAGATCGGGCGGAATTTCCAGATCATCAAGTAGATCCTCTTGAATTGATGCATAACTTCTGTGTCGAACTGAGGTTCGAGCTGGTGATGTGCTTTCAAGCAATGGGAGGGGGGTCCGTGCTTCACAGACGTTTTGGTCGGAATCGGTGAGGATTTTTGTCTACAGACAGACAGAGTGACACACAGACTTAGCGTTTTATATATGGGGGGGATTTTTAATTTTATTGTATAGATATTTTGTTATTGTTATTATAGATGATATTATTATTTATAACTTTTTATATTTTTCCCTACTTCGTTGTTGTTGACGATGGATTTTTCCCTACTTCGTTGTTGTTGACGATGGATTTTTTCATACTTCGTTGTTGTTGACGATGGATGATGAATGATGATGCTCGATGCTGCTCATGAGTATATTTTCATTTATTATATTGTATATAATATATAATGGTGTATATATTATATAATTAATAAAAATATGTAATTTCTATATTATATATATACATATAAAAATATATATAATAATGTATATAAAATATATTTTGAAACATAATATGTAATAATAATACAATACTATATATAAATCGTTTATTCGATCCGAAACTTAACCGTTGCTCGGATCGCCTCAAAGTTTGTTCCCTTGCATTCCTCGGGCTTTTTTACATCAATTAGAGTGGTCAACGAGCCCCCTAGAGCTTATTAAAGTTAAAAAATCGGACATTTTTCAGACCGACATCCGGAATGTTGATTGGATAAGAAAACTATGGTAATGCGTACACGAAGGAGGACGGCCAGCATCGTAGAGAATTATTCCCGAGACCTTGAATCGGCAGAAGCCACTTTCGCAGAGCGATACGAGAGGAATGAGTGCCCAAAGCAGACCGTTGTCGGCTTTTTAGACTTGACAGAGATCGCAAGCGGCACTTACGGGACTGTATACAAAGGCAAATGGCTGAGTAAAGATGAGGGGAGGCAGACCGTGGAAAGATTTTATGCGATCAAACGACAGGGAAAGAGAGAAGATCCTACTGGCGCCAGAGAAAAAAATTCTTTTCGCTCTGAGCGTGAGCTCTGTTGGAAATTTGATGGTCCACTAGTCGAATGCTCAGTCAAATTCAGCTGTGAGGTAGATACGGTGTGGAGGGATTCACGATGTTGAATAAATACACGGGATTTTCGGTTGAGAACACGTCAAGCGAAGTCGGCAACCAGGATAGCCTGAGTAACCAGCCATAGTGTCTTTATTACATAGACGTATGCTTTTATAGTACAGCGGACAAGGAAGCTATAACAGTCCCGCGTAGCCAGGAGAGAGAAACTATCTAGGACGTGCTACATTCTAGACACGGAAGACTGGAAAACTGTTACACGGATATAACGCTTCTTCCTACATCGGGTATCCCCGAGTGGGTCAAGAGCTACATAGTTTTCATCATTCTCCACCTAGATCGAAGATCCACTCGCGAAAATTCACCCGTTCACCGAGAGCGCTGCTACT